CAAACCCAAATTCTGGGTCACCAGGTCAAAAACGTGAGTGTCATGAAAGACGATAAAAAGATGGAATTATATCTTGGTTTAAAGGAAAACAAATTATGGATTTTAATCTGACTCGTAGTTCCACAATGTATATATATGTAAAAATTCATAGAGCTGTACACTTATAATTTGATATTTATATATATAAAGAGAAAACATAACTTAATATATAAAGTCAACATAAATTTATATTACCTTTATATTCAAAGTCAATTTAATTATCAAAATAAAAATGTTTAATAATTACAATTAAAGTTTTAATTATCGTATTAAAACTTTAATTTAATTTACTAATTATAATTCTTACTATCAATTTAAGATAAACTATAATTTAAGTAGAACCCAATTTTTAAAAACTTAAAGACATGACCACGAAACACAACATATGGTTCTTGACTGATCCTGGGTTGAGGGGGAAGAAACAACTATAAAACACACTTTGGGGATGACTGGAAATTTAAGTATGGACTCTATATTAGATGATATTATGGAATACTATTAATTTCCTAAGGGTAGTAAAGGTATTGTAGCCGTGAAGGAGTTTACTCTTAGGAGATGCACACTAAAGTATCTAGAAGTGACATAGCATGATATCTACAACTCATCTGCAAATTGTTCAGCAAAAACATGTGTATTTGTGTGTGTGGAGAGCGAGTGACAGGTACAGCAAATGTGGCAACTGGTGAATATCGGTGGCGGGTACACAGGTGCTCAATTGTACTATTCTTTTAATTTTTCTATAGATTATCATTTTTCATCCAAACTCATCAAGAACGCATACATTAAATATATGCATTTTTTGTATATCAATTATACATCGACAAAACGCTGTTTTAAAACTAGAAAAAATTTTAGTTTTTAATCAAACATTGGGAAAATTTGGGTGCCTACATCTAAAAAGCTATGAGACATCACCTTATTCCTGATTATGGAAGTTAGGGCAACCGAGACTGACTTCCTGCTCAACAGCTACAGGAGGCAACAGGTAAAAACTAGCTTCTTCAGGTGATAGGCCCAGGCCCACAAAGCGACTTGGCTTTTTTGGGTTTCCCTCTAGGCACTGCTGGCATCAAAGACCCTACGAAGCCTGCTCTGAACTTGTAAATCCCGAGCTTAAAAAATAGAGGGGACCGGTGGGATTCAGTGGAGTGATACTGCCCTCTAGCGGACATTTGGACATTTGGTTGACACCGCAATAAGGACCGTCACGAGGCAGCAGACAGGGTCAGAGATGTTATACAGCTTGCAAACCCGGGGCAGTCCCACACAGGCCCTGCCTGACTTCTGAACGTCCTGCCAACATTCACATTAGTGACAAACCTGTTGAAAATGACCAGAGCCCAGAACCTAGCACTGTTTTATATATATAATATTTTTCCCAATAATTTTAAAATGCACATAATTTGCAAGGACTGAAACCACCATGGTTAATCAAAGGAAGACTAGATTCTATTTAGACTGAGTTGTGCACCGTTTAGGTAAATCCCATCACCAATAGCAACCCTGGGCGTGTGACATTTAAGTCACCAACTCTGCCAGTTTGGGTCAGGCTGCATTCGCGGCCACTGCATTAACAGGGTCAAAAGCCACTGTCGCCTTCATCACGCTTCCCTGGGGCTGTGACCAAGCATCTACATACTGAAATAAAATGTGTTTACAGAGGCTGTATTATTGACCTCTCTCCATACTAAAGTTAGGGCATCGTGAACTCCAGGGATGATTATGAGAAGAGGTAGGTAATATTGTCTATAAATTTCATTGAGTCATATAGAATTAAAATCATCCATTTAAGCAGCTTCTTCCTATACTATTAGGAGATTCTGAAGAGCTCAGGGTCAACAGTCTGGGGATTCACGAAGACGCGGGGCTGCAAGCTTTCCATCTTCGAGATGTCACACAAGATCGTGGATGAGTCATTAGGACTTGGAGTGAGCCAGACCTGGTTCCAAATCCAGGCTCTACTACTGGCGTCTGCGTGATAAACCTCTCTGATCTTTCCATCCTCAACCAGAAGACGGGTATTGTTAAGTAGCTGGCACACAGGGGTGCTTAGTAAACAGCAGGCATTGCTAGAGTAAACTCGCTGTGTGCCCCCGAGTGAGTAACTTACCCTCTCTGAGCCTCAGTTTCCTCCTGCAAAAGAGGGGCTTAAAAATCCTGAATCCAGATTCGGAAACAGGTCATCCTCTGTTGTTGGGCATTTACTGATCTAACTCTCTGAAATCGAAACTGACACCAAGCCAAAATAACTGCCCGGAAAGGCTTAGAAATAGAAAGTTGGGGAAAACACAGTCTCCAAGTGTCACTCCACAGATAACTTACTAATTACGAGAGGAAAGTTGGACCCATGGGCTGAATTGTGTCCCTCAAAATTCATATTTAAATCTCTACTCCCCAGTACCCCAGAATGTGACTGAATTTGGAGATGGACTCCTTAAAGAGGTGATTAAGTAAAAATGACACTATTAGGGTGGGCCCTGATCCAATCTGCCCGGTGTCCTTATAAGGAGAGGTAATTTTGACAAAAAGACATCAGACAAATGTGACACAGAGGGAAGACCATCTGCAGGCCAAGGGGAGAGGTCAAAGGACAGCCACCCTGCCGACACCTGTCTTGGACTTTCAGCCCCCAGAACTGTGAGACAATAAATTTCTGTGTTCAAGCCACCCAGTCTATGGCATTCTGTAACGACAGCCCAATCAGACTAAGACACCACCCTAACCAGGGACTCCTACTCAGCCTCACTGATATTGGGACAAACTGCCACCCCATGTCCTTTGAGGAGAGACGCTGAGAAGGCCACGGCATCACCGCTGGGGTATTCCCGCCAAAACAAATAACCCGATCTGATCTGGAGACAGCCAACACACCCAGAATGTGGGACATTCTAACAGGACATCCATCCTGTCTTCCACAAAGGACCACATCCCAAAATGCAAAGACAGACTGAGAACCGACCCAGATCGAAAGCCAACAAAGAGACCTGCCTTAGTCCAATCGTGCCGATACAATAAAATACCATGAACTGGGTGGCTGATCATAGAAATTTCTCACAGTTCTGTACATGGAAGGCCAAGATCAAGAGCCATCATAGTCAGGTTCTGGTGAAGGCCCTCTTCCGGGTTGCAGACTGCCAACTTCCTGCTGCGTCCTCATACGGTCCAAGGGGCAAGCAAGCTCTGTGGGGTGTCCCTCAGAAAACCCCCAATCCCAATCATGAGGGCTCCGCCCTCACGATCTAAACACCTCCCAAAGGCCCTCACCTCTTAACACCATCACACTGGGTGTAAAGATTGCAACATAAATTTTTGGGGGGATGCAAACATTCAGGCCATAGCAAGACCTGACAACCAAACATAGCACATGATGCTGGACTGGATATTAAACAAGCAAACAACAAAACAACAGCTATAAAGGATATTTTGGGGATAACTGGGATACTTAGAATATGGACTTAATGGTAGATAATATCCTTGTATGAATATTAAGTTTCTAGAGTGTGATATAACAGTGGTGTGATTCTATAGGTCCTGCATTATAGAAAAATGTACTTGTTCTCGAGAGATACACGCCAAAATATTTTGGGTGAAGTACTGTCATATCTCTGGCTAACTTTAAAATCTCCCTCCATAAATGTCTATACTAAGAGACACGAAAAAATGTGGCAAAATGCGGACAGGTGTTCATTGTGCTATTCTTGTCTATTTTATGTAGGTTTAAATTTTTTCAAAAGGAAAAGTTGAAACATGAAGTTGAAAAAAAAATCACCTATGAAATTGGAAAAACAACCAAAATGCTTCAAGATAAATAAGGGGCTGTGACTGTCCCTCAGTACACACCACTTGCCCCATTTCTGAAAATCCAGTGTCTGGGAATATACATTTCAAAGGAAATCATTCTTTTAACCAGAATGTCGCTGACTGCAGGCTGCTTCTGACCTGGAGCCAAATCAAATGCCACCACCACAACAGCCTAGCTGTGTAAAGGGAGCCGTGGCCAGTGCAAGGCCATCTCCCTGGTTTCCTCATAGCGTCCTGTGGGCTTCATCCCCATTTTACAGATGAGGCCAAGATTAGCACTGGACTTGCCTCAATTCACACAGCTGGTTGGTGGTGGAGCCGAAACTCAAACCCACACCTTTCTGACTCTAAAACTCAACTTGCTGGAGGAAGGACAGGTTGCTCTGCTAATCCCCCAAATTAATCCACGAGTACAGATCCCATTAAGGCAGAGGGAGAGGGAGGCAAGAGACTTCACAAGGGAGCTCGGGCTTGGTGTGGGGGCAGGGAAGGTGTCCCCCTGGTGGGATGAGGCCTCATGGGTGAGCAGGAGGTGACCAGGGCGCAGGAGGAAAGCAGTCCAGACAGGAAGTACACTATGGGCTAAGAGCTGGCGGCGGGCAGGTGGCGGATACAGAGGAGCAGGGTGGGGATGGGAGGCAGACATGAGAGGAGCCAGACATGAGAGGTCTTGGAGGCCTGAGAAGGAGCTTGTGCTTCCTCCTGGGGGTACTGGGGAGCCAAGGGAGGGTTCCGAGTAGGGGAGAAGAGCAGATGTCTAATGTGACAGGACCGCTCTGGCTGCCATGTGGTGGGGAATTTGGAGGAGACTAGAAGCTGGTGACCGGGAAGACACTGGGGCTGGGATCCGGGGCTATGGAATGGTTAGTACACAATTCGGGTTCAATAAACATTTGGGCGAAGATCCAGAAGCACGTGAAGGCTCAATATTGGGCAGGAGCAAGGAACCAGGCCTCTCAGACACCACGAGAGAAGCAGTGATGGGTACGGTCCCCAGGGAGGGCGACTCGTCAATATCCTTCAAATTACCTTTGGCCGGTAATTCCACTTCCAGAAGTCATTTGAGTGACACACAGAGGAAAGAACAGATGTACTGAGTTGTTCTCTACGGCCCTGCTTGTAGTAATAGGAGACTGGAAACAACCTAAATGCCCACCAATGAGAGGCTGAATAATAAATTACCGCATGTCCGCACGACGGGGTACAGTGGTCAAGAGAAAAAGGCAGCTTTACACATGCTGATCTGAGCTGAGCTCCCAGATACGTTATATTCTTAAGTAAAAAAAAGCACGGCACAGCGTGTGTGTGTGTGTGTGTGTAAATATATATACATATACACACATATACATGTGTGTGTATATGTGTGTGTATATGTATGTGTGTATATATGTGTGTGTATGTGTGTATATATGTGTGTATGTGTGTGTAAATATATACACACACGTGTGTGTATATGTGTGTGTGTGTATATACGTGCGTGTGTATATACACACACATATATGTATGTGTGTGTGTGTGTGTATATATGTGTGTATGCGTATACATATATACACACACACACATACACACACACACATGCTCCTTGACTTACATTGGGGTTACGTCCCAATAAACGCATTTCAAGTTAAAAATATCGTTAGGTCAAAATGCATCAAAATCACCCGACCTGCCGACCACCACGGCTTAGCCTGGTCCACCTCACACGTGCTCAGAACACCTACGTTAGCCTACAGTCGGGCAGAATCATCTCGCACAAAGTCTATTTTATAATAAAGTGTTGAATGCCTCATGTAATTTATTATGCATATCGCTTTTGCACCATCGTAAAGTCAAAATATCGTAAGTTGAACCATCTGGTAAGTCCGGGACCATCTATTATGCTCCCCTCTATGTACATAAAGGGGGGATAGTATATATGTATATATTTGCCTGTCTTATCATAAAATACTTCTAGAAGGATACCTGAGATACTGCTAGCGATGGTTACCTGTAGAGAGAAACCAGCCCGCAGGTTCCTGGGGACTTTTGCTCATTTTGACTTAATTTAAATTCTGTTTATATGAATCTTCTTTTTTTTTTTCCGAATGTTTTGAACACATCATATGATTCAAAAGTTTAAAACGAAATAAAGATGTATATAGTAAAAAAAGAAAAATCTTACCTGTACCTTATCCACTCAGCAGTCCTCCCCAAAAGTAATCACCTCTATTAAGGTTTGTATTTCCTTCTAGTTTGTTTACGCGCATTCTCGCAAATGCAAATACAAAATCTTATTTTTCCCTCTTTTACCACAATAGCATAATATCCCAAGTAGGGTTCTTCGCCCCGATTAGGAAGGGATTATTAATATATCTTGGAGAGACTTCCACATCAGTACCTAAGGGAATCTTCGTTTAAAATTTTTTAGTATTAATCATAGAAATTTTTTTATCTGCACATATACACAGATACATCCGTCACATCAGCATAGAATTCCGATGTGTAGATGTTTATTGATTACTTTACCACTCTGAGTTTCCAATTCTTCTCTACACAACAAGGCTGCAGTGGATGACCTCGTACATCCCTTTTTGGGCCCAGAGGCAGACATAGCTACGAGATAAATTCCTAGAAGTGGAATGGCCCAGCCTAGAATAATGACAGTGATGATAACAGTACTAGCGACTCATCTCTATTAAGCACTCGGCATGTATAATTAAGTCATTCACTCTTCCCAACAATCCCTACTGGTTGGTTATTATTATTACCTCATTTCGAAGAGGAGGAAACAGAGACAGGAACTGAGTAAGCTGCCCAAGGCTGCACAGCTAACAAATGGCTGAAGAGGGATTCGAACCCCGGCTCTCCGATTCTTAAGGCCTGGCTCGTGAACCAGGAGGCTGCAACGCCTTCGCAGGCAATGATAACTTGGATCAATACTGCCGAACTGCCGGGAAGCAGGCCTTGCTTTCAGTGCTCTTTCGAATTTGGAGCGGGGTGACCTAGTATTACCGGCTCCAACAACAGCGACAGCAATACTACTGCTAATACTACTAATAATCCTAATCATAATCAAATACGTGAATCGACACACGCACGCGAATGCTGCGGGCGCGGGAGGCGCGAGCGCCCCGCCCCGGGCCCCACCTCGATGGCGGGCAGCGTCTTGCTGGCCTCGGTGCTGCTCTCGCCGAGGATGCTGCCGGCCGAGCGGCCCTCGCACTCGTAGCGGAAGCGCATGCCGCGTTGCTTGGGCTGCTCGGTGATGACCAGATGCGGCCGCGGCCCGGGGCCCGGGGCCGGGGGTCCGAGGCGGCCCAGGGGGCAGCCCCAGGGCGGCGGCGTGGCCGGGGGCGCCGCGGGGCCCAGGGTGACGGTGCTCAGCGAGGCCGCCCCGCGGGACACCAGGCGCGGCAGCCCCTCAACCGAGCCCTGCGGCGCCCCCTCCAGGCCGAAGCCGTTCTCCTTGATGTACTCGTCGATGATCTCTGCGGGAGAAGCGAAAACCGGGGGTGACGCCGACTGTACGAGTAAAGGCTTGATGACCCCCGAGACTTGTGTCCCCCCGCCTTTTCCACTCCATTCATTTCTTCTAGACATTTCTTGCGGGCTCAATGTAGAGGCCTCAGCTCCGAATACACAAAAAAGGCCCTGCTGACCTTTCCGCAAACAGCCCCCCAGGCTCCGCAGTTCCTGAAGCCAGAAACCCGGGGGGCTGGCCTAGTTTCTCCCTCTGCACCCCCACGTCTGCTCCCCTCTGAAACAGAACCGCCCTCCACCAAGCGCTCGAGCTGGAACTGCGGGCGTCTGTGTGAGCCGCTCGTGATCCCAGGCCTGCGAGTCCCATGCGTCACCTTCTTCGGCCTCTACCTCGAATGCCACCGCTTCTCTCCACTCTCACTGCCTCCGCCCTGGTCCGCCGCCCCTCCAGATCTTCCATCTGAGCCACTGTTCCCGGTTCCCCCAGCCCGTCCCCCGCACGCAGCCAGAGACCTTACGTTAGGCCCTGTCCCCGGTCTGTCGGAAGCCTCCGGTGGCCTCCATCTCCCTGAGAATCAAAGTCAACTCCCTGCCTACATAAAACCCTCTCTAAACTCCATTCATCTCAGAAAGACAAATCAAAAACAAAACCCCACACCTCTGACCCTGGCCACAGAGCCTTGGGGACTGGCCCCCTGCTGTCCCGCCCCCGCTCCCTCACCCTGACCCAGTCTTTTGTCTATTGCTGGCACCGACCAAGCCTGGCCCTCTTTAGGGCTTCCTCCTTCCTCCCCCATCTACCTGTACCCCGCTTCCCCATTTCAACCCCTGCCGGCTCCTTCTCATCCTCTGGTCTCAGTACAAATGTCATCTGTTCAGAAGGGCCCCACCTGATGTCTTCCTCAGGCCATCTCTCCCTCTTCCTGTTTTTCCTTCACAGCCCGTAGCCCAGCCTAACCTCATCTTGTTCATTCATCCTTTTTTGCGCTGTCTCCCCCACTAGAGTGTTTGGTCTTAGCTGAATCCTCAGTGCCTAGAACAGTGCCTGGCAGGTGGCAGGTGCTCAAAACAATTCACCAAAGGAACAAACACCATTAGTAGTAATAATGACACTAAAGGCAGCTGACATATGGAGTCTTTGTTACATGGGAACGTGACTTTGTTCAAATACTCCAACAGTCCTGGAAGTCACATTGTGACCCTCCTCCCAGCCCCCCAACAACAAACACCAAGCTCCCCGTCTGTGAGCACTTGGATGCCTCAGCCTCCCCCCAGACCTCTCCGGTGATACTCACCCAGTTCATCTGCGGAGGGAAGAGAAAGAGAAAGAGAAAGAGAAAGAGAAAGGTGAGGTCCAGTACGTGGTCAAGACTTTTATCTTTTCAGACAGATTTGCCACCTCCCGTCCCCTCCTGGTACCCTCCCCCGTCCTGCTTCCTCCATCCTGAGAAACTGGGTTCTGACTCACTGGGGTGCCAAACCCCAGGCCCCATCTCCCCCGTCCCGGGCTACCCTCCCTTTAGCTCCCAATGTTGGGGTCCCAGGCTCAGGGTCCCCTCAAATGCCTCCCCAAAACATTTAGGCCGGAGATTACAAAGTGTGGTTGGGAATTTGAGGAAAAACTAAGGGTCTTATCACCAGGGGGAAGATGGACACCCAAGATTGTACATAAAATGTGGGCGTGTTCCCTCTCTATAGCCCACCCTAGGCCCCCCAGAGTCACTGTCTGGTATCTGAAGATCCCAGGAGACTGATCCTCCACCTCCAGGCAGCGGCCCATTCTGCATTATAGTCCAGTTCCCCATCGGTGTCCACCCGCCAGCTTGGGTTCGCCCCTGCTACCTGACGGGGAGTGACAGTAATGCTGGAAAAGCCCTTGTCACCTCCTCAGGAAAGCTCAGCCCTGCAAGGGGCTATGGAGAAACCGAAACCAACCTCCCTTTATTCCACAGACGGGACAAGGGGAAACCCAGAGAGAACACGCGAGCCCGGAGTCACACAGCAAGGGAGGGCAGGCCAGGGCTGGATGCCCCACCCAGGGTTGCCTGCGCTGGCCTCGGACACCGACCAGCCCCACTGCCTGACCTGTCCTCCTCCTCCGCTCTCAGGGAGTGGTTCCTGACCACCAGACCTTTGCTCCTTGGAGAGCAGTATTCCTGCACCCATTATCTCATGCGATCTGCGAAGTCAGCAGGGTGGGGAAGACACCCGCACTTGGTAGATGGGGACACTGAGGCTGGGAGAGAGGAGGGGACGTGCTGCAGATCACTGGCAGGGCCAACCTTAAGTCACTTCAACTCGGAAAAACTTTCTTAGGCTTCTGTGCTGGATGACCTGGGGACCCAAAGATGAGTTAGACTTTGTCTGGGACCTCAAGGAGCTTAGTCTGCAAGGGGAAACTGAGGCCCTTTCAGCCGTGGCCAGAGCTTTGGACTGCCTCAGTTCACATTCTGGTTCTGCCACTTGCTAGCTGTGTGGCCTTGAGCCCATTACATAACCTGTTTGTGCCTTGGTTTCTTCATCTGTAAAATGGACACGATAATAATGCCTGCCTCGTTGGGCTGTTGGGAAAATTAAATGAGCTAATACTACGTGGGAAGCACTTAGAACGACCACAACAGTAGGTGCTACATAAATGTTGCCTGCTATTAAACAAGGTGTCATGAGACATTATTTTATGGACTTCTCCTCTCTAGGCCTTGGTATGACTATAAAATGAGGATGTTGGAAGATGTGGTTTGAGAGCATGGGTGTGGAGTCACACAGGTGTTAGTTTGAATCCCAACTGTCATTCACTGGCTGTGTGGCCTGGGGCAAGCTTCTTAACTTCTCTGAGCCTCCTTCTCTATAAAATGAGGTCTATAAATGGATCTCAGGCGTTAACGTGAGGATTCAGGATTACACCAGGAAATTGCTTGGCACGGGGTCTGACCACCTTAGGCTCTCCATAAAGCTTAGCTAATATCGTTATCTAACATCCTCTTTCAGCCAAGAAATATTGAGAACTTCTCCTCACTCAGGGCTCAGCTCAAATAACACCTGGCACTGCCCGCTCAACCTTCCGCACAGGCTTGCCAACATCCAGGGGCAGCCAGGATGGGCCACGCTTGAGCACACATGCTCAAGGTTCTGCCTCAGGGCCTTTGCACAGGCTGGTCTGTGCCAGAATGCTCTCCTTCCAGTTCTTTAAATGGCTTTCTTTCAGGTCCCTGCCCAAATGTCACCTCCTAGATAGGTCTCCCCTATCCACTGTATCCAGGATAGCCTCCAGAATCCCTCTCTGGTCACTTATAGTTAGGTGCCTTTGTTTTACCGATTACGTGGCACTGATTAAGACTTGACATGACCTTATGTGACGGTGATTCATATCTGTGTCCTGTAGACTGTATCACAGGGCGGGGACATGTCTACCCCATCCCCACTGTGTACGTAGGGCCCAGTATGCATCTGGCCCATCAAAATGAGGAAAATTTTCCCTCTCTATCCCAGCAATTCACTCGGCCCCACCCTGCTATGAGCTATCACTGACCCCAATATTTCTTCATAGCCTTTATTGCATCTGATAATTTATCTAATTACTTAACTTATTTACATGTCTGCCTCCGCATCTAGGTAGGGAACCCCATGAGGGCAGAGCCAAGGCCATCTCAGTCACTGCTGAGTCCGCAGCACTGCCCAGCACTAGGCCAGGTACAGAACTGGCACTCAATAAATATTTATTGAATGGATGACATCAGAAATCACTCTCAATTGAGACCAAAGATCTAGGTCTCGGGTCAGAAAAGCGTCAGTCTGGTTCCTGCCCAGAACCAGTGCTTGGGCAGTAGTATCTGTCCCAAATGCCATTTCTCACCTTTCACCGCCACCACAACTCACAGACCTGTTACAGACAGACCCCACAGAGCCTCCTCCGCAGCCAGGCCAGCAATTCCGGGGGCCATCCCAAGACTCTACCTCCAGAGAGAGGCTCAGACCCAGCCCACTAGGGCCACTGAGCCTCCATGGTGACAGGACTCATCCCTGCCTTCCAAATCTCAGCAAATTTATAAGAGGGCGGATGTTGTCATTTGACTACGATTCTGCATTTCCTTGGACAGCACTAAATTTTGGATGGTACAGGCTGAGGGACTTTATACACTAGTGGTTCTCTTGGGAGCTTGCTAGAAATGCAAACTTTCAGAACCCATCCTAGACCGAGTGAATCAGAAACTCTGGAGGTGGGGCCCAATACTCTGTTTTAACAAGGTCTTAGGGTGACTCTGACGCACACAAAGGTTTAAGAACCACTGCTGTAGGCTGTCTAATAATAATGTCTATTACTATTATTATCATTATTATTATTATTGTATTATTACACTGCTAACATTTACTTGCATGGCAAGTGTTAGTGGACAATAACAATAACACCTACTGAGCCTTTTCTGTGTGCTAGACACTGCTTTGAAAGTTTACCTATCCTAGCTCATTGAATCTTCTCCATCCCCCTGAAAGCGAGGCACTGATATGCCTAACTTGCAGATGAGGCCCAGAGAGGGGGAGTGACCTGGAGGCATTTGCACAGTGAGCAGGGGTGGCACCAGCATGTAAAACCCAGCCCCAAAGCCCAAGATATCGATTACTACTACCCTCTGCGCCACCACAGCGAATCTCTACAGAGGGCTCCTCTTACAGTGCGAATAGGTGCTTAGTTTTACCTATCCAGCTCCTAATCACCTGGGAGGTAGGGGGCCTCTGGAACCTCCCCATCTCAACGAGCAGGGTGGGGCACCAGCAAGGAAAGCTGAGGTGGACCTCCGCGAAACCCCGAGACAGACGCATGCCCAGTGGAGTCCCCCCTCCCTCGTCCGGAGAGTGCAGGCGGGCAGGAACTGTGGAGGGCTGCTCACCCGTGGTCCTGGAAACCGCCAGCGAAAGCGAGGAGAGGTCCGCGGACCCTGCAGGGAGGGAGGCAAGTCTCAGGCAGTGATGGAGATCCCACAGAATCTCTCAAGCCCCACTGCCTTCCTTTCCTGGCCCCGCCCCTTTGGATGAAGCCCTCACTCTTATCGCCCAAAGAGCCTGGCCTTGCTTCCTTCCCTATCTAACTCGTGGACACGTTCCCTAGTTTCTGTCATTCGCCCTACCCTTCATCATAGTCAGGCCCTGTTCCCTCTCTCCCTTAAGGTCGGGCCTGGAAGAGCCTTTCTCAACCTGTTAGGAAAGCCACTGCCCCCTTCCTTATCTCGGGGTCAGACCCTAACCCTTCACTTTTTCAGGGTCAAGCCTGTCCCTTTCTCCCTCTCAGACCCTGCCACTGCGCTCTCGAAGGCAAACCTCAACCCCTCTTTCTTCTCTGAGCCAGGCCCCGCCCTTCTTTCGGAACGGGCCCTCCCTCTTCTCTCCACCAGGGTCAGGCCCCGCCCCTTCGCCCTCTCGGAGTCTGCCCCCGCCCCTATCTTTCCCCCAGGCCCAGTCTTTCTCCGAATAGAATCCTGCTTCCTCCTTTAAGTTAGGCCCCGCCCCCTTTCCCCCACTCTCATGGTCAGACCCCGCCCCTTCTGCGAGCCGGACCCCTCTTCCCTCTCCCTCACTGAGTCTGGCCCCGCCCCCACACCGCAGGGGCTGTTTTCGCCCCTCCTTCTCTGAGTCAGGCCCCGCCCCCTCACAGAGTCGGGGGCCCGCCCCCTTCTTTGCCTCAGGATCAAGCCCCGCCCCCTCCTCACTCTATAGTGGGACGCCTCTCTCTCACCTTGGACCGGACCCTGTCACCATCCTCTGCCTTCTTCCTTCCCTCTAACACAGTGTTCCCAGAACCCTCACACTCTCCCCGCAAAACCCCTGGACTCCTGTAGGAACCCCCAGACTAGTCCGGGACCCCGAGAACCCTCGCGCCTCCAGTCCCGCCGCAGAATCCTCCCCTGAACCCCGGCCCCGCTTACCTAAGGCCCCCAGCTCCGGCGCAGCGGACGATCTAGCGACGCGGCGACTCGGCATGGCCGGACCAGTGGGGACGGACGGCCCGGAGGCCGGCCCAGACCAAAACACACACGCGGGCACGAGGTCGTGGGCATGACTTAGTCTCCCATCTGTTGCATAAGATACGTCTGTATCTTGACCGAAGCGCATGGTCCCAATACCAGGGTGGCGTTGGGCTGCACA